GGCTTCTACTACTTCTGAGTTTTTTCTCTTATTGATAATAGGTCGGAATATCGCACACTCTTTCGTATGTTTGGTCTTGCCCCAAAGGAATGTATATAGACCAATCACAATCACGATGGATCCTATACCTCTGGAAAAAAAAATATATATATATATATTAATCTTTTCTTCAATTAGTAGTAGTAGTACTAATGACTATGACTCTCTTTTTATATTCGTCAAAACACTTAGTTGGGTACTAGTTCTCTAAACAATATATTATTTGATTAAATCGCTTGTTATTTAGCAAAATCAATTAGAAAAGTAGGATTCATCAACTGAATGTGTTTTGCGAATAGAAAAGAACTCATAGTTATTTACCCACTCTTGTGACCCAAAAAAAAAAAAGAAAGTTATTTACCCACTCAACAAATAAAAAAACTCATAGTCATATATACTTAATGCAATTACCCTAGTAATAACAATGATAGTATATAGACGTGTTTGGATTGTATTTATAAATACAACAAAAAGATAAAAACAAAATTCAATAAATATTATAGATTGATAAATACCTTCCCAAATAAATTGGTGTATGGAAAACGAAATAATCAAACAAGGTGGCTGACATAAGCGAGACAGGAGAAAAAACCGAAGTGACCAACGGTCCTTGTTGTCTAATGCACCATATCACTCCAACGGTACATAGTCCTTGTCCGATCACTCCCTGTGCGAAGATTTTATAATGTTGTAAAAATGTAATGTCACATGAAGCACATGAAAATTTGTGATATGTATTAATAGAGTATTACCGTGAGAACAATAATAATGACGTTGATTTTTTTTTCGATAGCCCAATCGCTGAGATCTCGAGAGTTGATCAAGCTAAGAAGAGCGGCTTGGATCATACCAAAAAACGATATAATAACGGTGCTTGAATATATAGAAGGGTACTTAACGTTGATCTTAGCTTGAATAAGCATCCAACTACTATATAAACTAACTGCTATCAACAGAAAAAAGGTTCCTAAAGTGTAATTTTCTGATGCGTCATGTTTCGTATGTTCGTTTGTTCTCTTGTTCGAAACCGTTGACCCTTTTTCATAGCCAGTCAACGAAACTCCCTTGTAAAATGTTAACAACAATGCTCCTCCAGTACATGCCAATGTACCAAATACTATGCCGTGTGTTCCCTTAGTTTTTATATTTATTTTTTCAATTCTGCAATTTATCCCCAAAAAGAAAAAAACTTTTTAATAATCATATAATATGTATATTTCTTTAAATTTGATTTTTACAATAAAAAGTTATACGTACCGACATAATAAAGACATGACAAATGTAAACGCAGGCAAAATGCTCGAGAAAGCACATGACACTGAAGCAGAAGTGCGTCCAAGTCCAAGTAAGGCGAAATATTGTGTTAGACTAGACCTGAAAAATATTATTATCAAAACATAATCTATATTAGTAAAAAAGATCTAAAATGTTTAAATCGTAAAAAAAAAAACACTAACCCTATAAGGGCACAGAAGAATAGTTGAGACAAGATGCCTAGTGTCATCTTCGGCCTCGTTTTCCTAATCATAAGATTGAAAATTTAATCTTATTAAGAAGCATTGGATACAAAAATTGAAACCGAAAGATGGTATGTAACACATATAAGAAGCCTTTTAATTACCTTTCTAACAAAAATGCGATTGGAACGAGAGAAACGGTAGAGAGAGCTAAACGATAAGTAGCTATTACCATATGATCAATACCTCCATCAAGAACAACATATTTGAGTAGGGCATTAACAATTCCCAAAGTTGAGTTAACAACTATCATCATGATTACAGGTGCCCATTTCCCATCCATATAACCCATCTATGATCAAGATTACTCTCTCTTTTATCTCTCTATGTTTTTTTTTTTTTTGATAAAGATTTTTTCTCTCTATGTTGCTTGAATGAGTTTTGAAGCTCACTTAAGTGCATTTTTATAGTGAGCGGAGCCGGGCTTCGATACATAGGACCCCACTTGTAAATAAATTAGTTTCCCAAATATATAACTATGTGGTGGACAAATTAAAAAGAGTAACAAACGAAATATATTAAGTTATTATTTCCATTCTTAAATTTTAAATTGAAGAATGATTGTATCATTGTTAATTTATTTGAAGAGTTAAGATTTATGATGATATATTTAAAATCATTGAAATATCATATTTTAAATATATTTTTAAGATTGACATAATTTATATATTTTTATTTGTATGGTGTTCCAAAAATATTAAAACCACTCTGACTAGGGGTGTAAATGGTAACTGTGAAATCTGGCGGAGTTGTGGAATATGGCAGAATTATTTATGTGTTTTTTTGCAGAATCTGGCGGAATAATGTTAAATTCAAATGGTAACGGCTGAATTTGGCTAAATATATTAGAATTTTTAAAGATAAATAAATTAATTAAATTATGAAAATATTAATTTAAATTATCTTATCATAATAAAATATTTATCTTTATAAATATTTATTAAATTTTACAAAAAATGAATAAAATTATTAATTAAACAATATTTTGTGAAACTTAAATTTTTATGTTTATATTTATATTTGATGACTTTTTGAGGAATCAGACGAAATAATTTTGAATTCAAATGGTAACAACTCGATCTTGTGT